AATAAATTACTTCCTTAAATGTCCACTCAGTCTCTCTCACCTGTAAATTAAGAGGTAGGTAGGTAAGAGAATAGCCTGATCCTGCCAGGACAGGATAGATAGGTATCTTAAAAACCTAGTGTTATCAAAACTTCATTCATTTGACAAATATTTACTGAGTACTTCCTATCACTAATCACAGTCCCAGGGGTGGGTATATAGAAGTCAACAAAATAAAATCTGTATAGTTGAGGTGAAGGGAGTTGGGGGTGGTTGAAAATTGGGTGCAGTTGAGTCTACTTGCTCCAAGTCACCCTTGTTCAATATATATACTTATGTGACTTAGTTTTTCCACAGGAATTTCAAGAAGAGTTTTTATAAAGTTAAATTTTTACGCACACTTGATTAATCTAGCTGCTTGGCTTAAATCACCTTCATCCACCCATTGTTATAAAACACAGAACAGCATGTTTTCAGTCTATATGTTGACATGACAGTTGCTAAAGAGGACTTGAAAGCTGCTGTTATTTTATTTACACTTCCCTCTTCATCAGCTAACAAAGCCTTACAGAGCTCACGTGCTGAAATACATAAGAATCTGGCCATATGATTGACAAGGCCTCCATAATGAAAGTTGTACACCTCATTTAAGCAACAAGTTTGGCATTTTGAAGAAAGAATAAATGCAGATCTTCCTGGTCATTTGCCTACTCTCCTCATACCCCCTAACAGTTCAATAGTACACAATAAACTGACTTCATTGTATTTTTCAAAAGGAAGAGACCCTGATTTTCATGACAATTACTGACAAAGCATATTCCACTTTTAAATTAGGTTCATACTTGAGACAGGGTTCTAAAGTACTCTTCTAATAAACATCTCAGATCTCACAGACCTGCAAAATAATATTGTAATACTGCCACTTACTCAAGATTTTTAGAACGTTGTTACCTTCAGGATCTAAAAGATCTTTTTCAAATAGTCTCAAAGCAGTTCATCTTCATTCTTAAAGCGTGGTTTTGATTTGTTTTAATAATCAAAAGTATACTGAAATCGCCCAGCCGGTGTGGCTCATTGGTTGAGCGTCAACCCATACACCCAAAGGTTGCCAGGTTCAATTTCCAGTCAGGGCACATACCCAGGTTGTGGGCCTGATTCGGGGGGGGGGGGGGATGCAGGGGGCGGCCAATCAATGTTCTCTCTCATCGATGTTTCTATATATCTCTCTCCCTCTGCCTTCCTCTCTCTCTAAAAATCAATAAAGAAAAAAAAAAGTATACTGAAATCATTCTAATATGATATGCCCTTTCTTCTAATCCTAAGTGCGTGGTAGGTGCTGCCTCCGCCCATTGTTCTCACTTCTAGGCCAACTAAACTAGAAAGCATGTTTAAGTTTCCTTTTAAACTATACCTTAGGAGGAAAAATCTACCAAAGAAAAAGAGTGTAAGTTGCTCCTTTCCTGGTGATAACCAAAGAATAGGGACACAATTTTGAAACCACAAAGTGACAGCAGGAAACCCCGAACTCTCTACAGGATAAGCAACACGTGGTAGGAAATCATGAAGTCGGGAAGTAACCTGACTGAAATAATTGTGAAAAGCCAAGCAGTGCTTCGATATGAGTAGGAAGAAATATATACTCTAGAGTAGACTAGGTCAGGTGGGGATGGAGGGATGTGGGGAAACAAAGTAATAGAAAAAAGGACTTCAACTCTCCCATTCTCTGAATCCATAGGCTCTTGTGCTCTGCCTCCACCAATAAACAGCAACATATGCCTGTACACACTGGTGCAAAGACAAGCAACCACCAGGAAAGTAGTGAACCCACTGGTTGGGAGTTACTACTTTACTTTATCTTCTATAATTTCAAAACATGATTTCTAGGTTTGGTACATCTACCCAGTTCAGAGCAGGAACTTTGAGATAAACCACAGAACTTATGTGCGTGTACGCATAACCGATGGACATGGACAACAAAGCTGGGGACGGGGTGGGGGGGATGGGGAGAAGGGTGTCAGTGGTGGGGAAAAAAGGAGAAACATCTGTAACAAAAATAATTTAATAAAAAAAAAGGACTTTGTATATTTTACTCAATTTCATGAACTTGCAGAGAAAGAAGAATTGTGCTTGTTATCTTTTGACCTTTTATTCCGGCAAAGATTTCTTCCATTTTCAACTCCCAAATGTGGAAAGCTAATGTAGAAATTTTCAGTGTAATGAAACAATTTACTAGAAATTTTTATTCTGTTTTCTATGGAGAAAGAAACTGTATTTTAGACACAGTCTTAAAACATACACATCACTCTATTTGATAAAACAACTTTGGTTAATGCCATTCAAAAACCACTGCTGTTATGTTCTATTCTTCACTCCTATGATAATCTCCTGTAATAACCTCCACTTCAAACTAAAAGGATGGTGGGGAGAATCCTTGAAGGTGAAGAGACTATGGCACACCATTAGAAACTACAGACTGGAACCTATCCTGGTCACTTCTCAGCATGGCAAAACTATGAAACTAACACCACTCCTGAGGGACAACTATGACCATAGGAGGTGTACATTTAGTGGAGCTAAAACTACCCAATCAATAGACATATAAGTGCATATATTTTGTGTATTTCAGTGCTTTTTAAAATTAAAACAAGTTTTTTAAAACATACTGTTTTCTATATTCAGTACACTCTGATATTTTATTTTCTATTTTAATATACGTCCTACTGATAGTTGTGACCCACTAAATCGATTTCCTGACTCACTAACGAATGGGCTACAACCTCCGATTTGAAAATCATAGTTTTAGGAAATGCACAAATCAACCATTTTCTTTCACTGATAAGAAAAAGCGCAAAGAACTGAAAACATCAGTTGAACAGTGATTAAATTAAATTCTAGGAAGATCACAGGAGAAAGTGTAAGACTCAAGATAAAAAAAAAAATATAATAGCACTCTACCACCCCCCAAAAGAGGTTCCTATTCTGGCATTTAATAATCATCACCACTGTTAATCACTGGCTTTCTACATACACAACCCTGCACTAAGTGTATATAATTTATATACATAAAATGTAATATATAAATTATATGATTATATACTTGTTGTATTTTTAATATAAACTTTTATTTTTCCACAGATCATTCTTACAGCCTGTCAAAATAACAAAGTAAGACCCAGCTGGGTGGTTCAGTTGGTTGGAGCATCGTCCTGTAAACCAAAAGGCTGCAGGTTCGATTCCTGGTCAGGGCACATACATAGATGGGTTTGATCCCTGATCAGGGCATGTATGGGAGGCAACTGACTGACGTTTCTCTCTCTCCCTTACTCTCTCTAAATATCAAGACACACATCCTCAGATGAGGATTTTAAAAAATAATTATAACCCTGGCTGCATGGCTCAGGTGGTTGAAGCATCGTCCGGTACACAAAAAGGCTGTGGGTATGAATCCAGGGCACATGTCTAGGTCGTTGCTTCAAATCCTGGTCAGCAATCGATCAACATTTCTCTCTCATATCAATGTTTTCTTTCTTTCTTTCTCTTTCTCCCCCCGCCCCTCTTAAAGAAATCAATGAAAACATGCCCTTAGGTAAGGATTAAAATAATAATAACAACAAAGTGTTAGATATGAAACACAGCTCAGTTGGCCCCAGAGCCCAAGCTCTTAACCACTAAGTTATAAACTCTTCCAAAAAGAATAGGAGTTCCCATCTCTAGCTGGGCATCAAGAACCCTCTGTTAAAACAAAACAAATAAATAATCAAGTGCTACCCCAAAAAAGAGATTTTTAAAGTTGAATTAGCAATTATTATAAAGAAATATATCTTGTAAACAATGTATCGAATACCATAATTATGTCAGAAAATATCTTTCTGGACAGTAGATATTATTGTGTGCCATCAGACACAAAACACCTGGTTCAAATGAATGACTGCCTTGGTTAATAAGCAGCTGACTTTACCTTGAAACTTGATTAGATCACTCATTATGGACTAGAATTTAATATAAAATAGTTTTATCTTAGGTTTAATAACTAAATTCCATTAAGAATTTAATTGCTGACATGTCCACAGGATCTTAACATAAGGCAGCCTAAACTGATAAAGATTAGGAACTGCACCAGTGCATTCTATTCAATTTACCTATTTATGATTTAAACTTCTATCTTCCCAACATATTTTCCTTCATTATCTAAAAGATAAAGAATTCTGAGCTGGGTGTAACAATGAATTCAGCATTTTCCCTGAGTTGATTCACTTCTACCACCCTTGAGAAATAATTTAGTACCAAGCACACATTACAAAATTAGAAGGTTTTCAAGGTTTCAAAGAATTAAGAAATGGTTTTGCCTACATCACTGAAATAAAAGGTTATGAACCTAAAAACCTAAAAGATTTTTGACGGTTAAGTGGGTATTATAAAACCTAGAATTAGCACTACTAGCAACCACAAATAATAGTAGGACTACATACCACAAACACAGGAATGATTAACTGTATACATACAATCCCACTATTAATAAACAATTACTCATTTTTTCTCTCAGTAAAAAAATTTTGTACAAGACAAAGCAAGCACAAACTATAAATGGTCCAAGTAAGAATTATTTTGTTTGGTAAAATTAATACCTCAACTGAAGAATTTATCCCAACTACTTACTTCTCAGGCTACAATGAAATGACAGCACTACAGAGAAACTGGTCTTTGACATAAACCAGAAAGATAATTACAGACTAACATTTGAATAATCCCTAAACTACCTGGTTAAAGAAATTACAGCTCATTATTACTAAAATCTAGGGAAAATATCTACACCAGTGTCTTCTCTAACCATATCTCAAAAAAACAAAAATTTACTCATCAAGCTTATGATATATGGCTTTTTCCTAACAAAAATACTACTGCCATAAATCCATGACCATACCTATAATCTACAGATTAAAATATGAGATAATTAAACAGAGAATCATGAACGTTCATTCTATCCATGACCTTGGGGTCACTGGGAGATTTCTAAAGCATACCTTTTAATCCACGCCATGGTACTTCAAGAACATGTTAAGGTAAGTCACAGCTTGGAACACTTCGATGCACCTCAAAACACCTCAGCCAGTGTATCTGTATCATTCTCTTTTCCTTTTGAGATCATAATGGTTCCGAAGAACTATAATGCTTCCATTTGAATGATAGTCTCATAATTTCAATGACTTAAAAACAAAAACAAAAAATAAGGACTTAAATGTTGGTATGTTAAGCCACTAGTACAGTGTCAACTGCTGCCATGACTAAGAAAAACAAAGCTGCCACTACTATTAAGTAACACTGTCATTTTCATGTGAACCCTATATGAATAAGGAGTACATGCCTTGCTTTGTTGAGATCTACTAAAACCCCACAAAAACCTCTGACCCAACTGATTCAATTTTCTTTTCAGGGAATGAAAAATAACCTAAAAGACAGGTAGGTGCCAGGTCCACCTCTGATTAATCAACTACTCTGTTCTGTGTTGAACCAGAGCTGGAAATCACCCACACACCTGTATAAAAGGGAATTCACTAATAGACACAACAGCAGGAGTTCCTTCAAACAATGCCCCTCCTGGTGTTAATATTACTGAATCATTTCTAATTACATGAGAGTTATTAAATTAAAAAGACCTCCCGTTTCCAAAGCTTACTTCTATGAAGAGCATGTGTATAAACGAATAGATAGGTGGCTAACTATCAAGTTTTCCTGCTGCTCCGTGATTGTCTTGGTAGGTTCTTTCTTACCCCACCTACCTTGCTTAAATAAAAACATTAAAAACATTTCATAAAAAGGTCTGTATCACATTTTAAATCTAAGAATTCATTCTACTTCTGCCTCAAGGTTGGCATTCTATAGTTACAAGAAAGAAAGAAAACTCAAACTATATAAAAGGAAAGCTCGCCCAGCCAGTGTGGCTCAGTGGTTGAGCATTGACCCATACACCAAGAGGTCGCCGGTTCGATTCCCGGTCAGGGCACATGCCCAGGTTGTGGGCCAAATCCCCAGAGGGGGGCCTTCAGGAGGTGACTGATCAATGTTCTCGCTCATCGATGTTTCTATCTCTCTCCCTCTCCCTTCCTCTTCTAAAATCAATAAAGAAAAAATTTTTTGAGTAAAACTAATTTAAATTATCAATAATATACATATATTCATGGTATAAAGCAATTAAAATTACTTTAGGATGACTGATCAGGAAATATTTAATAAAATCAAGCTATAAAAGGGCTTTAAAGAAAAGAGGAAGCATGGAGAAGTCCTGTCACACTCTGGGTTTGTAGAATATCTCATGTAAAGGTTAACAGGCAGGAAACAGAAGATGACAAAGGCCCAGCTAGAGCTAGAAAGTGAAACTATTTCATGTTTGAAAGGGTAGATTCAAGTGATGAAAACCTTTTAAGTCCACTGTCAGAAAAATTACATATTCCTGAGATTTAGTTCTATTGTGGGTTGTGTGAAAATGTAGGTTACAAAATGTAGGTCACTCACAGAAAGCTGATTATGGTGGCAGAATTGCATCTAGGTAAGAACTCTACAAGAGTAGGCAGGAAGAAACCAATGAACAGAAACAAGGGCCCTAGCCCAATTGAAATCACTGCACCTACAGCCATCTTTTTAAACTTAACAATTTACCACATTAGTGCATCATCCTGAGTTCCTACTACAGCTTTAAACCACTTGATGGCTCTGTATTAAATATACAACTTTCTGGAAGGACATCGACATTGTTTCCTATACTCTGTGCCTCCAAATCAATGCACCCTACACACAACCATCAGGTTGATGTTCCTGAAGTGCAGCTTCAAATAAGAATAACATTAACCACTGGGAAATAAGGCAGCATATAAATATGTTAGATAATAAAGAATGAAAGCCTAAGTTTGTCACACCTTGTTTAATTTTCAGAACCCCAGTTTACAGAGGAGAGAAAACTGAGGTTCTCTGGTCAAGTGACTGGACAGAAGAGCATACGCAATAAGAGAAAAGAACTAGGAGTTAAATCTAGATCATCTAGCTGTAGTGACAGCACTTTTCTACTACAATATTGTTGTAGAGCACTGTTGGGGGAAGGAAGTGGTACTAGGACTAAATTAACATTTGTTGATATCATGCAAAGTACCATGTCAAGCACTTGATGTTATTTTATTTCATCCTGATCTACCACTCATAAGACTGACTAATTGCTTTCTTTTACAGGTGAGTAGACTGAGGCTCACTCAGAGAGATTTAAGTGATCTGCTCAACACTAAATATCAGAAACTGAAAGTGGTGGGACAAACCGTTGATCTCACATGTCCAACTCTAAAACCCACTCTTATGTTGCTATACCAACCTACCGTCCATAAGCAATAAGTAAAAAAATTCAACACTTAAGTTTATTTTTCAACCTGGATGATATAGCAATACTCTAACTTTATAAATCCTTCTTATTCAAAACCTGGTCAATGCATATCAACAGGTTTTTAGCTTTGGTTTAGCAAGAGATTATATACACATTTACTAAACCCAATAAAAAGGATTCATGTTATATTTAATCACTCAAATCAGAAAATTCATTTGATTCCTACAAATGAAATGCAGTATTTTCATTAAGTTATAGACTTAAAGATCTTTTAAAGTTGATTTGGAATTCATAGTACTGCCAAATTTCCAACTTGGCCCTGTCCCATGGGACTGCTACCAGTCAGCCTCATGGGAAAAGAAGTATTTATTAGCTGAGGTAGGTGAGGCCATTCAGTCAGGTTATCAGTAATAAAAACACAAAACAAAACAAAACAAAACAAAACAAAACAAAAAGCCAATGGGCAGCTCTCTACAATGCTTTAAAACATGATTAAACAGCCCGGCCGATGTGGCTCAGAAGTTGAATGTTGACCTATGCACCAAGAGATCCAGGTTCAATTCCTGGTCAAGGCACACGCCCAGGCTGTGGGCCCAACTCCAGTGTGAGGCATGCAAGAAGTGGCCAATCGATGTTCTCTCTCATCATGTCTCTATCTCTCTCCCTCTTCCTCTCTCTCTCAAGTCTAATAAAGAAAAATTATAAAACAAAAACATGATTAAACTAAAAGAGTAACTGAAAGCACTAAAAAATATTCCCCAAATTAAGGACAGGATACACCTAAGCAACTTCAAGATGTGAATGGAAACCATGTGTATAGCATTCCAAATTAACTGAAGAAGTGATCAACAGAACTATTATACCAATGTACTGTAACATGTTAGATGAATCAAAGAAACCATTTTTTAAATTTCTGAAACCAAATGTTGCAGAATTATACTCAAGGGTTCAAAGATGTTACAGTAAGAAAATTAACTGACCATTTAAAAATATCTTCATCAGTAACATAACTCTTCTGTATAACTCATTTTACAAGCATTAATGCCAAACAGATTAAAAGATAACACAGAAATGTTCCAGCTTTTAAAATATACCTAGGTAGACTTCTGAAGAAATTAAGTTTTGACAAGGGACAAACACAAAATTAACAAAGAAGTATGAAAGAATATAGGTTGCTAGGTTTGGTTTAACTGGACAACTGCATTCTCACAGGACCTTTCCTGACCCAGCTTCAGGTTCCCTCCCACCATACAGATATGACAGATGTTCTCGCTATCCTACACTTTGTATACTTCTTAGAATATACCATGGTGTTTCAGATCTCTGGGCCTCTGCACATGCTATTTCAGGAGCAGTGGCTGAAACAGAATTTAACATCATATAAGAACATTTAAAATAATAATATAAATAATAAAAATGTAATATAAAAAAGAATAACAGAAAAATAAGTAGGTAAGACTAGGAGTAAAAAACAATTTTTTAAATGTTTTCAGTGCCTACAAAGTATTACATACTGCATGCTGAGCCAAACTGTTTTTTTAAAACATAAATCTAAAAGATTTATTGTAAGAAATTTTTGAGAAACACACTGAAATTGAGTTGATGAGGCAGTCTTCAAATTAGATACTATACTGGGGGATGGGGGGCAGGATGGGGAGGAGGGTGTCTAGAGGAGAAAAAGGAGAAACATCTGTAACAAAACTAAACTAATAAAAATTGGGAAAAAAATAAATTAGATATTATAAATTAGGGGAAGTGTTCTACTAAAGACACTTGAATTTTAAATAATTTTTGCCAACCAAGTACTTGGAAACAGTCTTATTATATAATGACAGAAAATTAACCATTGCTATTATCAAAAGTATGAAAATGACACATTCTAGGAATTTAAACTTTAGTTTTTGTCAATGTTAATAAGGATTTCAAATAGCTACACCTGGTTTTGGGTAACTTTCAAATAATCTTTCCAAGAATCATAAACTACCTTAATTCCCATCTCACTAGTAAAACTGTTAATTCCTTTCCAATTAAACTCTGGGGACAAGGGGATATCAAGCACCTAGAGCTAAGAGACTGAACTCAGGATCAATGAGACCCACTAAAAGACACTTGTAATCTAGCAATTCTGGAAGATGAAATGTTCAGTTAATTTTACACTGAGGAACTCCCAACTGGGGAAGCTCTTTTCTTAAAATGTATATCCTAATTTTCAGTAACACTGAAAAAAACTTCTATCCAAGTGCCTGCTCTTAAAGTGGCCAACCCCAGGGTTCAATTGGGATATGCCTGCATTTATTAGCATTCTAGATGGAACAGCACAGACAAGTACAATTGAAAAATAAACACGCACATGCATGCGTGCGCGCACACACAGATACACACTCACACACACCATATTCTTTTTCAAATGGATTACTGTACCTGCTTGAAGATCAAAGCTAGAAAGAGGGTGAGGACAGTGGCGAGGAGATAGAAGAACAGAAGTCCCAAAGTGCTAAGTAAAGGATGTTAGGGAAAGAAAACTAATAATAAATGAGCTCATAAACACTACTACGCATCTATTCCAATCAAATCAACAGACGCTTCTTTCTAGTCTAGAATTTGAGAGGAAACTAAGTAAAATATGCTAGAAAGCATAAACCAAATTTACCTCTACTTTTTGTTTTCTTAAATATATTTATAAAAATGTTTATGGGTGAACTGAGGTTCTCCCTATCATTTTCCTTCTCCTTTCACTTAGTTGCTTAAGACTCTTTTTGTTTAAAATAAAATGTAAATTTTGGTGGCTTAAAAGATTATGTGTCATAAGTGATAAAGACTGCGCTAATCAAGTTCTGGAGT